CGAGAGTCAGACTGTGCAAATATAACTAGGGTGTATTAGGATAAGTTATTTTACTGTACAGATTGCGCAACTCGGACAGCTGGAACTTTCAATGCATTTAATCTCAGACAAGAACTGCTTGTTTTTTTTAAAAAAAAATAATCAATGCAATAAATCTTGGTATCATATATTATTATTTTTCATTATATTTTTAATGTTTATGCACTCAAGTTAGCAGCGGCTATTGTGAGATTCATCACAGAGCTTGCATAATTATGAACACAAATCAACTTGCAGCATACAACTTAAAAAAGCCTCAGTCTAAAAAATTAGGTATGATGTACGTCCTAAGAAATATAATTTGTCCTTATTCTTAAATTTTATGAAGTGGTGAACAACTCAACTAACTATAAGCTTAAATCAGTCTTTAGAGTATAATTCACATTTCTATGAAATGCAAACTTAGATGACCTATACAAACGTTTTGATAACATAACTTTAACCCTTACATGAATGAAAACTACAACAGAACCTAACTTCATAACTTCACTCGTTTAACCATAAATAAAAGATCACAGATGCAAAACAAATTATCCGCAACTTCATGATCACACAAAGTATGGACATGGTACAGGAACTGATCGTAACTGTCAAGATAAAAAGTCGTTTCTTGATCTTGTAGAAGTTCCAACAGTGTTCGCACCGACTACAGTTCAAAGCCAAAGGTTCTTGACATAACTCGTCTTGATCTGAATTTGTCAACTTCTTGGCTTTGTTTGCTATAGATGCTCGGCTCGGGAGTCCCCCTTTTTAAAATATGCACAAGTTTGTAATTTTCTAAATGTGGATATCTGACCGATCCAACCATAAATTCTAGACTAATATAAACACTGCTTATAAATTTCGTCCACGGAATGCTATGATTCTTTCTTAATGCCGTGCGTAGTTATTCCGTTTTCCAAGGCGTCACTTCCAGAACAGTGATTTTCTTGCAGCGCTCCGTTTGCCAAAGATGTCGTGACAGCCGTCAATAGAACTGCTTGATTTTCAGTGTTCGAGTTCGTAAATTGAACATTAATTTCTGATGGTACTGTGATTCCTCCGTTAGCGAAGAGCGATCTTAAAACGTTCAATTCTTTTTGTAGCAAAGAAACCTTGTTCCGTAATTCTTCGTTCTCTTTCGCTAAATCCGCAACTCTTCGCCTTGTTTCCTCGATCCGCTCCTTAGCTTTCATACGACTTTTCCTTACAGCGATGTTGTTTCTTTCTCGCTTTTTCACGTAATCGTCGTCTTCCACCTTGCTTGCGGGACGCTTGGTCGCTTTTGACATCTTAGAATCTGTATTTTCAGCCGATGATTCCATTACTTTACCGTAGCAGGTCTTCTGCAGCAAAGGTTTTCACCTCGATTACCTAAGATTTCGTTCTGGTGCTATAAAAAAGTTCGAAGCTTGCGCAATCATCATATCTATTGCGCAAGCAGCTTAGCGTCCAAGCCGTGTGCATTGTTCGACAACGCATAAAATATGATACTCTGACGCTGTGCAAGGTATTCGTGGACTCGGCCGTGAGGGCGGGGCAGGGGGCTTGTTGAAGGCGGGGGCGACGGGGGCCACAAAGCTCCTTGGCCGAGAAAATAACAGAACAACAGAAACAATTAAACTACACCTAGACGTGCGTGAAACAGGGGTGGAATGAAATAACAGGTTCTGAAGCACGGCATGGCTTCTGGAAAATTCAACGGGACACAACGGGACGCATCGGTTTCGCTGGAATTTGCCTCTATAGTTAAAAAAAAGGTCAACACAAACGAATCTAAATTGTTAGAAATGTCTCTTAGGGATTTGATAAATAAGTAAGTGCACATGGAGCTCTCATACGAAAATATGAAACTCGCAATATCGTATTAGGTGCAGAACTAGAGACGAAGCCGGGGCCTGGAATACTAGGAATGCTCATTCATTGGTATTATATTGTAAGCTGATTGGTGAATAAAAGGTGATAATAACAATTAAACTAATGAGATTAATGCATGTTTGGCAACATCGAGAGGTGGCAGTACAAAGGATATAAAAAAGCGGGAAAGAATTATATTCAGAGTTCCTGTCTCTACGTGCTGTCAAAACCGTTGAGGAGTAAACCAAATCTTTGAGAGAATTAAAGCGAGCTGCTGACAAGATGTCTGGACGTGGTAAAGGCGGAAAAGGTTTAGGCAAAGGAGGCGCAAAGCGACACAGAAAAATCTTGCGCGATAACATTCAGGGCATTACCAAGCCAGCTATAAGACGCTTAGCAAGGAGAGGTGGTGTGAAGAGGATATCAGGCCTCATTTACGAAGAAACTCGCGGAGTTCTCAAAGTCTTCCTAGAGAACGTGATCCGAGACGCCGTAACCTACACCGAACACGCCAAACGTAAAACTGTCACCGCTATGGACGTTGTATACGCTCTGAAACGACAAGGGCGCACATTGTACGGATTCGGCGGCTGAAGAAATGAAACGAAGGGCAAGACTTGAATTAAGAGATGAACACTGGAGTGGACATGTAATGTAACGCAGAGGGAAGATTATTTATTATGACTTTCAGCCGGACTGAAACTTTTAATTTCAGTTTCGTGTTTTAATTTTGCTTTCAACAAGAAGATTTTCAAATATTTCGTTTCTTTGACACGTGCGATACGGCAAATATTCTCACAGTGACCATGCGTTAAATTGTATATTTTATGCACATTGTTGTATAACGCTTGCACTTTTTTCGTTATATTTTGTACGTTATGACTTCAGCAATTGGTCGTTGAGGCTACGGAACGACATGATTTTGTTGACGACAACTATGTTTTTTTTTTTTACCGAGACAAGGTAGAGATTTATTCACGTATATATAGAATGTATAGGAAATTAAAAGTTATCACGTTTGTTACAATGCGCATTCCATGTATTTTTCGTCATTGACAGCTGACAACGCGCCAGTTGGCTTAACAGATACATGTACCAATGAAGTTATGATTATTTTGCACGCCCCAGAATCATGAGTAAATTTGTACCGCAGTA